TAAATGTAAAATTTAACATTTTGATAATTTTTAAAAGTTTATTCAGATTTTAATATCATTGAAAATCTTATTTAAATAAATGTAAAAGTTTCATACAAAAAGTGAAAATGGAGAGTGACAAGATATTCAAAAGGGAGAAATTTTGATAAATAGACGCACTGATAATTGGGCCAAACCAATATACATAAACCCCAAGATCTAGAATGTGTTTAATTAAAAATATTAGTATAGAATGGGGGTATTAAATTACAAAATTGACATTATAAATATGACAAAGTAAAGTTAATTTAGGGATATCATATTTTTACAGATTCATTGACTCTTTTATAATAGTATATAGATAGATAAAGAATTACATATAATAGACTTGTAGATGTCGAGCTACTAGATTACTTGTTCTAAAATTATTACATCATGAAATTTGGACCTTAAAGCGTATATAATACAACAAAGGTACACAACATGATGGTTAGGTATTCAAATAAAGAATGGTGTGGAACAGCAAAGAGGAGTATCAAACAAAAGTTGGCAAATGTGTCAGTAAAAAAAAATAAATAAAAAACAAATAAACAAAGAAAAAGGATGTCAACAAGGCTTGGGGTTCAAGAGAAGAACCTCTCCTATCAATGATGATGTCACGAAAGGTGAAAAAAAAGGCAAAAGAAAACTAATTTATTAGGTCATTAAATTAAATCCATCCATCCATCCATCCATCCATCCATCCATCCACTATATATTAATCGAGAATGCGCTGAGCCTACGTGGCTGTTTCGGGTGCTTTGGAATCCTATGTGGCAAAATTACATGCTTCGTTATTAGGCTTTTAATTTAATTCCAAACCAAAAATAATTAAGTTCGGATTACCATAAATATGTTGATTATTTATGGTCATGTTACATGTATTAATTGTATTTTAATATCATTCTTTATTATAACTATTGAATTGTATATATATTTTAAAAATTAATAACTTTTGTATTTTTTATCAGTTTTTACATATCTAATATATCAAATTAATCTTCTTTTGATGAGCTTCGATTTAACATCCATATTGTATGTATAAAAAAATAATTTATATTTATCTTTATAACAATAATAAATTTTTTTTAATATTAATTAGAAAAATAAAATTATTTATCAACTAATATATTTATATTTCAAGTAGTTACATGATATAAGTTATAAAAACTAATATAATATAACACATGTAAGTCATAAGTAACACATATCATTCTAAAATATATAGTAATATATTTTTTTTGTAAAAAAAGTAAACTAAACTTAATATAGTTTTCTTATTAATTTTAAAATTTAAGAATAATTTTTTAACAAGCACCCGTATAATACACGGGTGTTATACTAGTTTATTATAATGTCTTTCAAATTAAGTGATAAATAAAAATAAAAAAAAAAAAGGTGTAAGAGATTAGGTTATGTAATAATTTAACCTGCAAGAGCAGTTGGCATTAGTTAGCCAGTCTTTTAAAATCATGTCTCTACATGTCATCTGTTAATTTGGGCAGGTAAAAAGTGTACCTTTTCCTTTTTTTTTTTTTTTNNNNTTTTTTTTTTTTTCTTACATGAAGTAATAGGGTTGACGGGTGCTGTCCCGCAGACGTGAAACGCACAAAAGAAGGGTCAGGTTAGATGTGCGTTAATGAGGTTCCATCCTAAAACCAATTGATCGAAAGAGGAGTAACCCATTAGACTTATAAATATAAATGATACGAGACAACTCACGAGTGAATATTTTAATATTACTTCCCAATTTTCTTATACAAAATGCATTTATGCACCTAATGAACTCACATTATTTTTCCATGATATTTATGTAAAGTGGGAAAACTTGATACCCACATTTAGTTACTGCAAATTTTCCAGTTGGAAATCTTTCTTATTTTTGTTCTTTTATGTTGCAAGTAGAATTTAAGTAAAGCATATGATGCCCTTGATGGTTACAGCTGTGTTACTCTCAGACTCTGCCCATATTCTGTTTGTTAAAATTCCTATGAGAACTTGATTTTTTATTCAATTCATTTTTTTTTTTTTTTTGCTTGGGATGGGTTCTTGTGGGGTTTGTAGTTCAGAGTGAAAGCCTGAAATCTAGCATTTTGAAGTTATCATTTTGTTTATTGATTGGGAATTAAAGATCTTGCTTTGTTAATTACCCTTTAGTTAAAGGCTAATCATTCTCAAGATTAGTATTTGATTGTTGAACTTAAGAGTGTGTAATTATTTTTACTGGTAAAAGAGAGAGAGAGAGAGAGAGAGAGAGAGAGAGAGAGAGAGAGA